AAGATCTGGTGGGACCTTTGATGCTATCAGTAAGGCAATGGGTGCTCATCTTGGAATTGCGTCATCAGTTACCAACCTATTTGGTGAAGGTGGGTTGCTTGGCAAGAAAGAAGCTCTGGATTCTGTGGTGGAACCAAGTGAGCCCCCTCAGCCATCCCCGCCACCAGCGGCAGAAGATACGAGATTTAAACGGATCATGAGGGGCAATTTTGCTGACATGCTTCGAGGTAAAGCAAAAAATCAGGACGACAACGTGCCTCACCAATAAAATTTTGTATAATCTGTGCAGCATCTCCTTTTTTGTGTTCAAGTGATGAGCAATTCGACACAATGGTCCAATTTTTTTCTTGCCTCAGATTTAATTTGTATTGTTCCTTATGCCAATTTATATGTACAAAACACTTGTGATTTTATTTGTACTTTTTATTGAGCAGATAACCTATTCTTAATACATACCTGCAATTGATTAAATAGGAGAATACAAAGTGTCCAAAGTTGTTCATTAGGCCAAAAGAAATAACTTTGCAGAAATCTAAATTTACAGTTTTGCTGCCTACTTTTGGCTTCTCAATTTGCCTACTCATAATCGCGTAAGGAGTATTGATACTGGCTATGAAGACTTCTATTTGATCAGTAAATATATCGTCGATACTCCAGTTATAGGCTTGTGGATTTCCAAAAGTTAATTGTACAAATGTAGTAGACTTTCGTTCATAAATTAGGCCATCAATCTAATGCCTTCTATAAGTTCTATGTGGTTGTTTTGTGAAGTCGAAGAAGTTGCGTTTTCGGACGTTTTACTTCTCACAATTCACAAATGGGGTCATAAAGGAAAGTGATTACCTGATCCCTATCTATACTGATCATACAACTCTTTACATTCCGAGGATATAAATTCTTATTTGTCCAATCAAACGAATGAACGAGTGCTATGTCTTCGACGTCCTATAACTACATCATAGAGAAATTTAGCAGGTCAGCTTGGAAACTCTTGTCCTTTGAATGAATCCAAGAGCCAGTTGTGTTGCTTTGGCACCATGAAACCATAAATAAGTCCTGGCAAATCACGGTTAACTCAAAAACATTGAAATTCAAGCTATAAATCGCAAGTCGAGAGTAATAAATTTTTTTTAAAAAATTGTAAAAGCAAGTACTGATCGACATTATGCAATCGATAACGGCATAATTACGCGTGTTTGTGGTGACAGCTGAAAAGGAAAGACAGAGACTTAATTTAGTGTTAATTCATCTGTTGATAAGGAAGTCGGTCCACCTATTTTCTTAGGTGATCGACATCGACCTATACTCAAATTTCCTATGAGTACTAAAGGTCTTAAGGTCGTGTGTAATAATCTTCCCTTGTCTTTTATTACTCCCTCCGTGTTTAAATAAACGAAATGTTTCCCTTATGCAAGTATGTTAATGTAATATTTTGACTAATAATATCTTTAATTATCAATAAGTAAAAAATCACAATAATTATTGAATATTAATAAACTATTCATTAGGACGATTCTAACAAGTACCTACAAGACTATATTTATTCTTAAGTATAAATCACAAACAATAGTCAAAATGAATTAAATGAATAGTGCAAAAAGTCAAAACGTTTCATTTATGTTAACACGGAGGGAGTAGTTGTTACACTTGGTTTTTCACGGTTTTCAATTATCGTGTTATGCATAGTACGTGTATGTATCCAATATTCATATCAAGCTCTATGTGACCATGCGATATACTATTTGTACGGATACATGGTAGGATGTTAATGCACCTAACCCAAATCGATGAAAACAGCTTAGCCTCTTATCTATGCAGTACATATATGGGAGGTGCATGTAGAATCCCTTCTTTAAGGGCATATAGCATGAAACAAGAAAAATGCCTTCTGATCTTGTGTTGTCGGTAACTTTCATTATTGAGGAAGGACCCCGTGATATTATTCCACCATAAATGTTATTGAATTTTCAATTAACTGTCCCATCAACTTGAAGAGGAGGATGTACGAACATATTTGTTTCTTCTATACTAAACTTAGCTTGTCAAATGGTAACTAATATGGACTATAAAACAAGAACAAACAATTGCTACAATTTTGATGAAATGAGTATTGATACTTGAAGATTGGAGTAGAAATATCTTGTAAATATTGACTTGCTTGTATCTTAATTGGAGTGCCTATAGCATCTTAGCTTGCCGATTTACTGGTTCGTGTTTTTTATGTAGAGAGAGAGTCATAAACTCATTGTGGACAAATGATGTAAATGAGACTTGATTTCAAGTATTAGCTTAGCCTGATACAATCTTCTTAGACTTTAATTAAGTTAGTTATCATCCACACCACTCCATAGCCAATTAGCTATGCATACTTAAGATTTTAAACATAGGTTTGAGGATTTTGGAAATTTCTAACATGATTGTCAAGTAAGTACAAAACTAGCCACCTACTACATTAATTGTTGTCTTATATATTTAAGTTGACAATTCTTACGAAAGAATACTAGTACTAGTCCCGTTTGCCATGAGAAAATATATAGATGTTGACTTGACAAATCTACTACGTAGTATAATTTCTCGTCAAGATGCGTGAAAGTTCAATATCTTGGATTCTAATTAATACGAAGTATGTTAAAAGAAGCTGATTAGTGCGCATTTTAGAACTTTATCTAAGATGGATTTTACTGGACTAAATTCCACATGACTTGAACTCTGATCTGTATGTATAAGTTAGGCCATAGAGCATGGGAAAAATTAATGGACAAGCAAAATCCTTATTCCCAACAACCATATACAGATAGGCACGTAGGTTGGATTCGAACTTTTGACTTTAAAAGTATAATAGTACTACCTTCGTTTCATATTTTTTGCAATTTTGGAATATTTTATATCTCACAAATATTACCCCAAAGTTGCAAAAAATTTGAAACGGAGGTAATATAATATATTCCATAATAGGAGGTATTATGAATCCTTGAATAAAGTGATTAGTAAGTTTGTTGAACACTATCAGTTCGAAATATATATCAATAATAAATCCATCAAAACTGTCTAATCAGTCCATTTACAGTACTTGTATACGACTATTGTTGTAACTAAAATCTGGCCATCAATATCTGATACCATACTCTAGTTAAAAATTCTTGTCAACATAACCTACAGGCAAGGCTAATAGGTTCCTAATAAACCCGTTCACAAAGCTAAGGCTTGCTAATACGTACGGTACATACATATAATCTTTAATCTCTTAATTAGCTCATCGTCGTTAATGTATTTTGAATTAATCACCAAGTTTTCGATGGATTAGTGTAGATCATGTATGCGTAGGACACTAGCATATCGAATTATAATGCACGATCAAAAGATTGATGATATATGTATGTTAAAGAAGAGACCGGGAGAATGAATTCGGCCATTCGAGATTATGAAGTATCACTTGAGATCCGGTGAATATAATGAATATGTTTATGTACATTATGAATTATGATCCCCATTATTGTTGAGGCATGGACTAAGTGATGATAATTGGCATGATGAGGTCTTAAGCACAAGTGCTCAATTAGGCATGATTACAAACACTAATTCAAGGCCTTAATCTAAGGCTTTTGTTTTTCCACTTGATTTATTATTTTCTCCTTATAAAATGCATTATTCACTTAATTTAAAGGATTTTAATGCCCTCTTAAAATTTTCATTTCTTAAAAAAAAAAGGCTAAGCAGATCTGCTCTACACCAAACTGAAACATCGCCTGGATTAAACCGGTCTAAATTAACAAGATAGACACTTTAAAAATAAGGAGAAATCCTTTAATACCCCTAAAATGATGTGAACACATTGTATAAAAAAAAAGTAGCCTAAAAACAGATAACATATTTTTTAATGGTTATACTTTATAAGATTTGCTATTATATACAGTAGGAGGCCAGGATGCTTCTTTTCGCAGCCTTCGGCTATGCATGCATGTATTCTTTAACCATCTAATAATAGAAAGAAAAGACCTCACCTTTTTTTTTTTTTTTTTTCCTTGTAAAAAGCTAGCCCATACATGCATGCTCATAAATTTAATTAGAAGATGGATTGCTTTAATTTATATGAATATAACTTTTGACATGTAACAATGTGATCACATGGTACCTATTAATGTATATGTAGGATAATTTAAGTGACAATTTAAAAGAAATACTGTTAACTTTCCTTTCTTGCAGTTTGGAGTTGCGTTTGGAAGTAAAGGAGAGGAATTGAATCTGTTTAGAAACGAGCCAGAACTAGCATTTTCCCAACTATGTCGCACTAATTTTGTTGCTTTGTTTGCAATTTTTATCCTGTAGGCCGCGGCATGTATGTGTATGTATGTAATTTACACCTTTTCATTATTCGTTATACAAATTGTAATTTTACACCCAAGTGTCCGATGGAAACCTTGTACTCCGTATGTCCTAACTAATATTATATCACATTATAAACTCTTTGTCTATTAACCTTTTCTAGCTAACTCTAATTTCCTTATTCACTTGCTCGTTCACTGAATTGGTAAATAGTTTAATTTAACCTTCTTGCCCTCTAAAACATTCTCGCTACTTCTAATTGGTTTCTATTGGTACAATAATTATGAACATACAATTTTTGTAAAACAGATAAATTTTATGTGTAACTTTTATTAGGTAATACTCTAACATATAATTACAACTAAAACAAACAATCAAATTTCAAGATAACATGAGTATTCAAGATCTAGAATTCTTGTAATTTTTCCACTAATTATACATCCAATAATTCAAGACTTCGATTCTTCAAATGCTCAACAAAATAGACCACTTGGATCAAAATGGTCCCAATGTCAAATGTCATCATTTGCGCACATTTCAAAACACTACTACTTACGTTCACATACTACTCAAACTATAACATTATTAACTCCAAAGTTGCCCAACCTTGGTCATAATATTATGTTGGTCCATAAATTTTCATTCTTTGGTACCGACTTTTCCCCCTTAAATTCCTTCTATAAATTCACACTTTTCCTTACCCAAATTCTCACCACTCTAGCTCATTCTTACTCTCTCCTACACACTAAACTCACACAAATATCCCCTCTTCTATTATTTAACCAACAATGGCCAAGTACATGGCTACCCTAACCCTACTCGCGCTAGTTGTCGTGGCAACGCTACTAGCCGTGACACCATCGACTGAGGCGGTGACCTGCAGTCCGGTGCAGCTAAGCCCTTGCGCGCCAGCAATCATGTCCAATCAAACACCATCAAAGGCATGTTGTGATAAACTAAAGGAGCAAAAACCTTGCCTTTGTGGATACAAAAAGAACCCAACTCTTAAGCCTTACGTTGACTCTCCTGGTGCTAAGCGCGTAGCTTCCACTTGTAAAGTCAGTGTTAGTTGCTAAGCTAAACATGTCGATTACAAAAACTATATTATTAGATTGATCGATCTTATAATATACTTAAATCTAAGAAGTATGCACTTTATTATTAGCTTGATCACTGTATAAGTGTGATCAAAAAATGGTCGTGAGGGTGGTTTTAAGGTAATTATGTTTAATTTAATGTTTGCTTTGCGATCTTGTATTAAATCCTGTGGTATTTAAACATGTACATGTTACACACTTTTTGTGTGAGGTTGTATGTGTTCCGGGGTTTACAAATCTTCCTTTTAATAAAATGTTACATTATAAAATAAGGAGCACTTTAGTATGTTGTAATGATCTCATTGGATTGTTGTATTGTTCTTGACTCATCTAATAATCGAATAGTATTCTATATTCTCCCCAATATTTGCAACACTTAAATTTGTATTTTGGATTGAATTACTTAGTGTGAACAAACACAACATTTATTTTGTCTATTACTCGTACAATTTTGCAATGGTCTTTTTCCTTAAAAAAAGGAGTGGAATAATATTGAAGCTAAAATCTGGTCCATAAATTTAACTTGACTAGTTGACTATCACTCTATCAGAGTATCAGTAGTTTCGATGGAGACTAACACCGAAGTTGGGCTTAAATATTGGACCCCCACTATGATAGTGATTAATAAAAGGGTCAATCTGCAATGGACCCTATTCCATCCTGTTAGGTCCAACCCATAATAAAATGATCCGCTAAATTTCATCAACTATGAGACCCAAAATTGGTTCCCCTTTTTCAAAAAAAACAAAAAAATACAGATGCATGTAATAATATGTTATAAGACGAATTTTATTCTCTAGTAATTTTTTGTGAAGGCTCCATTCTTATCAACTTATTAAATACTCCGTTGTCTTAACAAAAACAAGTTAAATATAGTTCAGTTCATTTAAATATTTAAGTTGAATAAAAATGATTTAGTTTCATCAAAAATAAGTTAAACATATACTTCTTAATAAATTATTTTCAAATAAGCAAAACTAATTTTTTTTCAATAACAATAAGTTAAATTGTGCATTTATAAATTGAGTAAAACATACCAAATTTAATTAGCTAATGAAAACACAATTTTCTGTATTTTTTTTAATTTAAAGTGCTTTTACAACAATGGAGAGACTGAGTGCAATACTGCAATTTGAGAAAGTGGCTGAGTCACCCTCTTAAAACACAAATTATTTGGAATCAAATTTTACTTCCAAGTGTCTCACCTTCCTACTTCCCCACCAAACTTAATTCACAAACCTAATTTTAAGGTTTCTACTCCTTTTTTTTTTTTTTTGACGTTCAAGTATGGATCTTCTATTTCAGAGATTTTTCGTCCATCACCATAGTCTTTGACATTGTTAACCAACTTAAAAAAAAAAAAAAAAAAAAAAAAAAAAAAAAAAAAAAAAAAAAAACTATATACTTCCTCCGTTTCTTTTTAGTTGACACCATTTAACTTTTTCACTATTCACAAAATACACTTTTACTAGCTTTTGTGATTTATAGCCATGATAAAATATAGTCAAGTGGGATCTTGTTTGAATCGTCTCAATGTATATTTTATTAATATCCACTTTTTATAATTTTATAATGTCGAGAATTAGAAATATAAATCGTTAAAATAGTATATTGCCAAACGTGATAATAGAATGGTGTCAACTAAATAAAAACGGAGGCAGTATACTAGATACTACAATATTGTAAATTAGAAGTAGCAGTGTAGCACTAATGTTGCTAGCAAATAGTATAACAAAGCCAATAATCCAACCACCCCACTAGAACCAAATTGGTATACTGTATACATTAATTTGATGATCAATATATATTCTCTATATATGGCAAATATTAATTTATGCGCACTTCTTGACACTCAAACTACCAATCACAAATGTCCACCTCCAAAATCCCACATTCAAAAGCTTACCCAATTATATAATGTTGTTTTATCTTTCTCTATTTGACCCTTACTCTAAAACCCCCCCTTATAAATTCACACCTTGCACTAAACTAATCCCTCACCAATTACATTACACTACACTCTCTCATACGCGTACTAGCAAATCTTTTATTCGAGCAAATAAATTCTCTCTTCTAAGCATCATGGCCAAGAACGTTGCCCTACTCGTGGTGGTTGCCGTGGCAGTGTTGCTAGCTGCAACACCAGCAACGGAGGCAGTCACTTGTAGTCCCGTAGAGCTTACCCCTTGTGCACCAGTTATTATGTACAACCAAGCACCATCAAGCGCGTGTTGTGATAAATTACAAGAGCAGAAACCTTGCCTTTGTGGATACGCTAAGAACCCTAGCCTTAAGTCCTACATTGAATCCCCTGGAGCTAAGCGTATGGCTTCCACTTGCAAAGTCAACGTTAGTTGCTAAACTAACACATCATACGTAAAAAAAAAAAAAGTACCTCTATTCGGAATTGATTGTCACATTGCTCATTAAAATTAAATAATATTTATAGACATGACAATTAATTCCGAATATAGAGTAGTACAAATTACGCCTTTGATCACGTACTATATATTATGATGAATCAGATTGCTATGTTTATGTTTTTCTCATGCACTCGTATTATATTTAGTAGATGTATGTATAAGTGGATGTTATTGTATGTACACTCTGTCGTGGTGTTCTGTACAACTATTCTAGCTTGGATTATATATCCCGCTATTTAATAAAATGGTTATTTGTGAAATATGTAGTAGTATGCATGATTTTTTAATGAAGTTATTTGCTTGATTTACTGTTTATTTTTTAGCACCATTGTGATGTTAATCACATTTTTTCTTGGGTATTAAAATTATAACGTTAATCCGTGTTGTTTTAGATTTAATTTCGCATTATGCAATTTGTTAGGTCATCCAACTATGGTAAATTTGTCATTAATGAGTTCAAACTAAATTAGCGACTTGATTTGATGGTTTATCCAAATGTTTCTATATACTATAATGAATAAACAAGTATGCATATATTTATGGAAAATGTCAAAATGATATACATATAAGGAGCTAAAAATGAAAAAAAAAATGAAAATATATTACATACACTGATTTATGCGTTTGTCCTACATTTCTAAATTAATACCAAATTAAGAAAAATATTAAATGCTGATTCTTAACCCTAAGGGGTACAATGCTACATATTAACATATAGCATTATCCTATATTTATATACGGTTAGTTTGTTTCTGAAATACGTAGTAGAAGCTTTAAGTTCATGTTGACTTATTGTTGAGTACGTTGAATTTTTGTTATTATTCAACCCCAGTTCTCAAGATTGGTCTACGTCAATTGGATGTTAATGTCACATATATTAAGTACTGCATATATACTAAGTACTAGTACATTAAGGTAAAGGAAAAAAAAAAAACCTTTAAATTTAAAATAAAGTTGGGTTTTAATTAATTTTTCCAAACTACATACCCTTACAAAGATTGTAAATTGATTGGTTCAAAAAAAAATAAAGTTGTGAATTGATTAAACTGTTAAGTAAAAATATATCACCACACTTTCTCAAAAAAAAAAAAAAAAAAAATCACCATATATCATTTAATGTCGGAGATTAAATCCAAAAGATTTGAGTAATAGATAATTAATACTCAAAGCTATTGTATCGTTTAATGTCGGAGATTAAATCCCAAAGGTCGGAGACTAATCATTTAAGTTAGGTGACTTAAAATTCTAACACCTAATTAATTAATTAATTATTTTAGGTGCCTGAAATAGTTTGGCTAACAGAGTCTAATATTTTTAACTCACAACAACTTCTAGCTTAGATCAATAATATGATATAATGGGTTAGTATCTCTTTAACTAAACAAATCATATTACAAAATAATCTCGATACGTATTTCTAAAAAATTAATTCTTAATCTCCCCTCATATGATTATATATTTATATATACGTTAATTAATCTTAAACCATATTAAAAAGATATGGTTCGCGTGACTATTAAATTCTGTCTTTCCATCATCTCTATAACTTTGATATGACACTTTACATGCGCATTGCATGAAGAAGCTAGTAATTTACTCCGGTCACTTCTGCATGCAAACACAATGCTTCAGTCTTTGTCACCAGTTGATTGGAGACCTTATTGGTACTATTAGAATTTTTTTGTACTAAAATTATACGAGTAGTACTTATAGTTGATTTTTGTTTTCACCCTTAAAGCTTGGTCTATAAAATCAAGAACAAAGGCAGGTTAACTCATATTTACGTAAGCGCCTTTATTCATACTACTTGGAAGAATTAGAAAGAGTCAACCAGCTAATCGGTAGTATCTAGCTAGGTTTCAAAAATGAACACCTAACAGTTGAAATCATATGTAACAATTGACGACTTTTTTTTTTTTTTACAAGAGTAACAATTGACGACTTTACTAATGTGTTAATTGACAATCACTTTGTAAAGCAGACGTATACTAGAATTTTCAATTTATAAAAGATTAATTAAAATGGCTTTTGAATTCAAAATTTTGATTCCTTTAATAATTTGTGAACAAAAAATTAAATAACATTATGCATTATTACACCTGTTTTGTGTTAGATCACATGCACTAGGAAAATTTGTAGCATGAAGGCAAAGTTAATTAGGCTATGAAAACTTGTACACAAGAAGCTCGTTGTTCCTATCAAAAAGAGAGAGAGAGAGAGAGAAGCTCGTTGTTAATCTATAAAAGAAAATAAGCATGTAAGATTGTTAAAAATAGAAGTATCTTCAACAAAAAATAGACTTCTTTTAATAATATTGTAAGCAAAGTGATGTATTTATGATTTCCTTAAAAAAAAAAAAAAAAAAAAAAAGTGATGTAATAAAATAAAGTAATGTAATTTTTTTTTGTTTTTTTTTTTTTTTTTTTTTAGAGAGCCACAAGATTGGGTAATGAGAATAGATTTCATGTTCTCCTAGAATCAGGAAGGAAGCTCTAATCACTTGAGTTATCCCTCACTCTCAAAATGATGTAAAATGTGAATTAGAGGGAAATAAATTAAGTTATAAGGATATTTAATTTGTATCACTCTGTAATACATATGTAGTACGGAGCTGTGTACTTCGTTTGAAATAACAACACTCTATTACTACAAATTTATGTAGGATATAATTACAGTAATACTCAGACTCAAATTGAAGTGTATTCAATAAATGAGCCAGTTACATGAATAATTGTAAAAATGTACAAGTAATAAGATACATGAATAAATGATATATGTAGTGTAGGCTTATGAATTCCATTAAACATTTATAAATTATAAATTAAATTCTTAAATAGAATTAATAAACATATAAATAAACTGAATTGGCAAGTGGTGCATTCATTTAATCTAATTTCAACCTAATTTCATTTTTTTTTTAAAGTTGGTGGTTTATTTTTATCAAAGTACAATTGCTAAACATATAAATAAACGGAGGGAATAAATGGTGCATTCATAAACCTTATAAATCTTACTTTTATTTTCATAAATTTTGCTTAATATATCTCATGTTTCAACTTACAATTCATACAAGTACAATTTATAAAATAAATTTTTTTTAAAAAAAAGTAGGGATATTATAAAAATTGGAGAAGGATTACCAATATTTTCAACAAAGAACATAATACCTCCAATAGTCCAACCACCCACTTAAACCAAAAGGGTCCCTATATGAAAGTGTCATTATTTGTGGCAGTGCACACTTCTCAACTTTCATACTTACGCACGCTCAAATTACCACTCACAATTGTCCACCTACAATTTCCCACATTCTATATCCTGGTGTCCCTAATTATCAACCTTTTTTTTTTGTTTCATCTTTTTCCTTTTTACCATCCAAAATTCCACTATAAATTCACACCTTAATTGTACACAAATTCCTCACCACATTCTACCTCTACACACACGCATTACACTCATTACTAAGCTACTACATTATTTATCTCCATCCTTATCTTTCATTAGACCATCTCAATTTGTTATTCTAGTGATAATTATGGCCAAGAATGTGGCTGCCCTTGCCCTAGTGGCGGTGATTGTAATGGCGGTGCTACTAGCTGAGGCACCAACGACTAAGGCGGCTTGTAGTCCAGTGCAACTAAGCCCTTGTGCTCCTGCAATTATGTCCAACAAACCACCATCTGGCGCATGTTGTGCAAGACTAAGGCAGCAAAAGCCTTGCCTTTGTGGATACCTAAGGAACCCCAACCTTAAGCGCTATGTTAACTCCCCTGGTGCTAAGCGCGTGGCCTCCACCTGTAGAGTCAGTGTTAGATGCTAAATACACATTTCATCGAGAAAAAAAATTATTAGATGGCTCGTGACGGAGTCTTACTATTATACTATAGTCCTAATAGTACTCTACTTGTGCCCTTGATTACTATATGAGTGTGATCAAGGATAGTCACGTGGGTGTTAAAATAAAACCATAACATTTGTATTTGGTTTATTAGGTGCCTATCATGGTAGGTCTTATGGTACGGAAAATGTGGTATACATACGTGCATGTTGCACACTTGTATGTCGTATTCTCTGTTTTCAAAGATTATATACTTGTATGTGTTGTTTAATTTATATATATGATATGTGTCTCGGATATCATATTATTCATATATATTAATTATAGTAAAGTGGTTACTTAGTAAAGGAGCTCTTACTATTATATTATAGTCCCACTTATTATCTACTTATGCACTGGTTAATTTAGCTAAGAAGTTGTACTCTACATATTCTAATTTTGTCATTTAATTGCGAGTATTATATATATCCTTCCCCTTTCATCATCAATGAATATGCTTGGGGTATTTCTGCCTCTCAAAAAATTCTAAATGGAAGAATTTTGTAAACATAACGTTGAAGTGTTAACCGAAGGGCTTTAGAAATACCACTTGCAATAGAATTCTATCATATTGACAACTTAATTAGAATCCTAATCCTACCCAAATAAGTTATGTGATCGAAACAAAGGTAGTAAAAGTTTACATAGATAGGATTAGGGCTTTAGAAATATCACTTGCAAACTTCACGTGTTAGAGACGTCTTGATCAAACGGGTTACGGATATTGTTACACCACTCAATCAGCTTGCTATTAATGCTGTTGATCTCATTCATCGCTTGATGTTTTAATTGATTTTATTACTTAGATTATTTCTTTATTTTCCTATGCATATTTAGGTTTTCATTGGTTCTAATAATAGAATTGCAATCAGTTGTGGGTAGATCTATTAAATTATAGGACTCGTTAGATATAGTAGTCATAAATGATGTTTTATTTGGTGCTGTTTTATTTTTAAAGTTGTTTCGAAGTTTTTAGCTAAGTTTTTTTTTTAAATAAAATTAAATTTATAAATAGTGATTCTTTCTTTGTTTTCTTAGTTTAATTCTATTGATTAACTCTTAAATTCTTCATGATGTCTTAGAATTATGTAATTTTTTTAATTTTATTTCGTGGTCTCATGTAAAAAGGAGGGGAATTTTGTAACCCATCATTTAGCTAGATTGATTTCGTTCGGTGTCGAACAAGTTTGGGTCAATCATTGTCCCCCCGAATCACCTCGTATGTACTCTCAGACTCCGCTTCAATGAATGATTGATGGTGTTTTGGTGGTTTCAAAAAAAATATAAAAAAAAATTTCTTGAACTCTTTAAGAGTAAAACTCATCAACAAAATTTTCCTCAGAAAAAAATATAAATTATAAAAATAAAAAATACAAAAACTCATCTACAAAAATCATGAAATATTATCTCAATATTACGGAGTAAATAGGTATAGTCCACACTTTGGCCCAATGACGACCCAACAGTAACATAAAAATATTGGGCTCTTAGTTTGGGCCACATTTTTTCAAGTAATTACTGTTCCGAAGGCCTGCGTTTAAATTCATATGGAATCACTAATCAAGTAATCTGTAATGAAAATAAGAGTTAGCAATCTTTCTCAAGCTCCCTTAACATGGATTCAAAATTCGATATTCCTTTTTTTCCGAATTTTCTTTTTTCTTTCATTTTTTTTTTTTTTAAGTCTTACATTTATATAGAAATAGAATTTTGAATCTTACTTTAACCAAATAAGATAGATGGTAATCTACAAGTTAGTACAAGTTTATAACAATCTTTATTCGCCGCAGTTTCAATTTTAAAACATTGTATTTTCGATGTTGATATAGGTTAATCTCTGAGATTAACATTTCTTTATGCATTGATTTCTATGCAACTTTATTATTTCACTTTTATTATTTAAAAAATAAAAGAAAAACATTATACTGTGAGAGAGGATATATTTACAGATTTATCTCAGAGATCAACTCGAATTTTCCCGTTGATGTAGATCTAAAACGATTAAACGAACCAATTTTGTCAATTGCATTTAACAACCATGTGATTATATTTCTTGCCCTTATAGTAAGGCACCTCTTGCTATGCACTAGATCATCATAAACTAGTAATCAAATTTAAATTTGACTTAAAATATATCAGTTTATCACTCATTTTGATTCCTTCATCGATTAATGTAGATTTTCTATCCATATTATATAACCAATATTTAAATTTGAGTGAAGGAGAAAAAAAATAAAAAACGACTAGTGTTTCTTCCATTTGAAACAATTGCACGTTGCCTTGGTGCTAGGAAATCCTCAACATTTACCATGTGTCAATTTTGTTGTCATCAACTCGTAAATGCAATTTAGGCCCTCTTCAGTTCACCTTTAAAAAAAAATATTCAGCAAAAATAAGTTTAGTTCAGTAAAAATAATTTTAATTCAGTAAAATTAATTTCAATTCAATAAAAATAATTTCAGTTCAGTAAAATCAGTAACTCTAAAGAAGAAATATAATAGAGAATCTGTAAAAATAATTTCAGTTCGACAAAATTAATTTCAGTTTAGTAAAAATAATTTCAGTTCAGTAAAAATAATTAAATTCAGCAAAAATAATTTAGTTCAGTAAAAATATTTCAGTTCAGCAAAAATAAGGTGAAGTGAACGGAGCCTTATACAACTTCTTAATTAATGTATAGTATTTCTCTTGTTTACAAAATCCCAAGAATGATTTGCCAACAATTTAATTACCATAAGCATAGTAGGGGACTATATATATTTTAGTTCATTAATATATGAATAGTATGTACCTTTATTGGTTTTATATATTATGAATTATTTTTACGGGAAAAAATATATTTCTTATTTCGTAGTCTAAAAATATTCCATCTATTAAAAAAATTACGGAGTATTTAGCTTTTTAGAAAATTTCTATTTCTAATATACATGCAATATATATTGAACACCCGCATTGCATACAATTTTGTCTAAACTGTTTTGTTTACAATTGCAAAAACTTTGTCAAAAAAAAAAAAAAAAATTGCAAAAGCAAGATAGCTTGGGAGAATAAAGGACAACCAAGCTAGGTTTCACCGATATACTCCGTCCCTCTCCGACCTTTTTTGTTCTTCCTATTTAGAATCTTGGCTATATTCAAAAGTTCTAATATTCTAAATTACTCTTAAGTATATAAAGCATAATATTATCATGTCAGACTTTTATATTAATTGAGTCATATTAATGAAAAACTTATTAATATTCAACTAATAGATTTATAAGGCAAAAGCTAACGAACGCCCCGATGGCGTTGGATAAGATAACTAAAAATAGAAATATTGAATTAAAATGAACATTAATTACACCAATCGACGCGTGATTTTGACATGCATTCCTAATTATATACCAGTTTAGAAATATTTTAAATGTCTATTTAACGCTCCAGGGGCGTTCGTTAGCAAGATCCTATTTATAACTAGTATATATGTAATTATAGACGTTCAATGTCAAGGTAATACATTGATAAACATGTATAGTCAAAATGGAAATAACATTTAGGATGTGATGGAGTACGAATTAAAAGGACTACGTTCAATGATTCAGATTCAACATTTGTTTTTTGACATTATTTTGGTCCTTGGAAATCATCAAGAAATCAATTCATGAATGCAACTTATAAGTTAACCTAATTATCTAATTTGCATACTCCCAAGAACGATATGTCAACAAATTATGATTCGCTTACATTAATTGCACCCTAACACACTAATACACAAACATAACCCTTGTATTTTCAACTATAAATAAAGAAAAGCTAGGCCCTAATAATCTCACCACCTCATCCCACTAATCACCTATTTATTACTCTAACCTTCTTCTTCCCCTCTCTAATCATATCAATCCTCCCATCTCTCACTAATCAAGATGTCGAAGAAGGCGAGTCAAGTCATGGCAACTCTTATGGTGGTTGTGCTCCTCTTAGGGGTGGTCGAAATAGCGAAAGCGTGTAACCCTTTAGAGCTTACTCCTTGTTTGTCAGCAATTCAAATTGGAAGCTTACCATCACCAACATCTCCTTGCTGCGTTGCATTGAAAAAACAGACCAAAGAATGCCTTTGTTCTTTCTTCACTAACTCTGAAACTTCTAAATATTTATGCTCTCCTACTGCTCAAGGTATTCCTCAGGTTTGCGGTATTGCATTCCCTTCTGATTGCTAATTATTAAGCTCTAATTATGTAGTTTTCTCTCTGGAAAATATATGCATTTTTTAATGCATTAATTATTTTTCATAATTGGGAGAAAATGAAGGAGATAAGTTGTACTATTGTACGACGTAGCTATATATGCTACTATATCTTATATGCATGTCTTTTATTTTGTACGTTAAGAATTTGTAACCTTGTAGTTCGCCTTAATTTGTTGGCATTCTTGCTTGGTTAATTATTGTGTACTACCGGAATGATAAATGAATCTTTATGTCTTGGATCTGTTTTGATACGTTGCTATAGCTTATTTTATATTGTCTTACGAATAATCGGAGCTAAAATCCATCGTATTCTTTCTTCCTAAATAAATTTATGATAACGATTTCATACCGTACGTATTATTTCATAGATACAATACATCAGATTATACATATGGTGTGTTGTACGTACGGAGTATAACTTATACAAAGTAGAGACGACGCTTTTGTATTAGTAGTGCAGTGATTATTACTTATTTTGTTCATCTTCGTTCCCTATCATTATATTATTACTAATTTTATGAAACTTTCATCTCGTGATCGTTTACACATATCCCAAAATGTTCCTAATATTATAAATTCCATTTTAAAACAAAAAGGGAACAGAAATTCTACGTGCAAACTGCAAATTGCACCGAAAGAAAACGATTTAGCAAAACTACAATAGCACGCACTATCATATCACATGTACGAGTACGTTTAATAATAGCTAAAATCTACAATCCAAGCCACCCTAATCATAATCTTAATCTCTTTTGCTAATTTTTAATCTTTCATTTTCCTCTATAAAAAGAATAATGAACCCTTAATACATTCACTTCACTCTACTATCCCACTTTCACTACACAACACATACACATTATTTCACTACTCATCAATGGCCAACAAGATGTACACTTTTGCTCTGATCACGGTGGTCGTAGCGGCTGCAATGCTGGCGGAGGCACCGATCCTGGCATCGGCGGCTACATGTGATATCAGTCAGCTGATGTCTTGTGCAGGGGCATTTTTGTCCCAAGATGTGGCACCATCGGGAGATTGTTGCAATAAGTTTAAAGAGCAACGACCATGTCTTTGCGGGTACAAGAAAAAGTATCAAAGT